TCTTTCTCTTTAAATATTTCCAAAAGCTGTCCATTGCTCTCAGGATAAATACAAAGCCTCCTACCGTGATCCATGAGACCACGCTATCTGGTCCTACCCACACCTGCCTCCTTTCCACCACATGTCCTGTGGCTTCCTCCTCTCAGTCATGGTGACATTCTTGACATCCCTCATTCTTACTGAGCTCCTATTCAGCAGCCTTGCACATGCTATTCATTTGTCTGGGATGATTACACCTCAGCTCTCAACTCAAGGATCATTTCTCCAGAGAGGGCCTCCCGAATGAGCAAAATCCATCTATTACAACCTCTTGTTGTACCTTGTATCTCTTTCTCATGGTCCCTGTCATAGCTCTGTTTCTACATTTCCTCGTTTGTCCCTCAGACCATAAACACCATGGAGTCCAAGGCCATGTCTACTTTTGTTTGAGAGCATGTCTGGCACATGGTATACACTAAACATCTGGCAAATAAATTCATACAAGAAAGGGTAAACTGCTTGGAACAAATTTTAAGTGCTCTGAAAGCACAGAAAATAAAGCATTAAAGTTAACCATTTGTAATATGACCAGACAAAAAGCAAGGAAGAAGAGAGTATGTTGGGGGTGGGAAAGGGTACAAGAGGATGCTCTCAGCAGTGGAGACATAGCTGCCCAAATTAGTGAAGCCAGAATGAGTGAGTCTTGAATTCCAAAGATCTTTAATCCACTTATACAGACTACAGAGATCTAGTAGAGGTTCTGAAAGCGTTAAAGTGAAGGTGCATGCGTGCTATAAGTTGCTTCAGTCATGTCCGACTCTTTGCAACCCTGTGGACTGCAGCCCGCCAGGCTCCTCTGTCCATGGAATTTTCCAGGCAAGAATACTGGAGTGGGTTGTCATTTCCTACTCCAGGGGATCTTCCTGAACTAGGGATGCAGCCCTTATCTCTTATGTATTGTGTATTGGCAGATGGATTTTTTTACCACTAGCGCCACCTGGGAAGCCCACTAAAGTGGGAAAAATTAACCCAGTTAGGTTAACCTATCATCTGTGTGGAGAATGGTTGGAACTAGACAAAGAAGTATCAGGCCTAGAGGTAAGGAGATGGTTAAGCTGCTGGGATTAAGCAACAGAACATGGTACTGGGTTTGGGAAATGAAGAAAGTATCAAATCCTTTCCTTGACCCGACCTAAGATTTGTATTTTGGAAGATCTAGAAATAAGTACCAGAGAAATACATGATCAGTCTTTTTAATTCTTAAAACAGGCAATTTTATTTCTCCCCTAAGGACTTCAAATAATGAAATAAAGTATTAGGCTAAAAGAAACCCAGGCAAACAGTACAGTAATTACCCACCATCTCATCCCACTACATTGCTATTGTGGCAAGATGTTTAATAATTAACATCTGGTTAGACATCCCAGGGGCTTCCCAGGTGGCGCCAGTCATAAAGAACCACCTGCCAATGCAGGAGACATAAGAGACATGGGTTCAATTCCGGGGTTGGCAAGATCGCCTGGAGGAGGACATGGGAACCCACTCCAGTAATTTTGCCTACAGAATCCCATGGACAGAGGAGCCTGGTGGTCTACAGTCCAAAGGGTCACAGAGTTGGACACAACTACAGTGACTTAGCACGCATACATGCAGACATCTCAGAAGTAGTCAATTTCCATTTCTACCAGGATTCAATGAGACAGAACAAACCTGCTCCTTGGTATGAAATAGATGAAAGTGCAATGGACTAAGAGTGAGGATGCCAGGATCCTCATCCCAGCCCTCAGCAACTCCACTGTGTCAACCTTACATGCCTGAATTCTCTGGACAGATTTCTTCATCTGTAAAATTGGCTGGAAGGAGAAGACAGGGACTGGGGGTGATTTCTACTTGTGTTCCCAGAGCACTCCATTCTGAGAGGTAATTCAGGGAGCCTCACATGGGGTGAGGGGTGGCGTAAGGGAGAGGAGCAGTGGGCAGTCCCTTATCCACCACCTGAGAAGCTCCACTTTATTATTTACTATATCAGGGATCAAGGAGTATCAGGGCTTCCTGGGTGGTAAAGAATCTGCCTGCAGTGCTGAAGACCTCAGTTCAATCCTTGGGTCAGGAAGATCCCCTGCAGAAGGAAATGGCAACCCACTCCAGTATTCTTGCCTGGAAAACCCCACAAACAGAGGAGGCTAGCAGGCTGTAGTCCATGGGGTTGCAAAGAGTCAGACACAACTGAGCAACTTCACAAGGTGTATTAGGTCTTCAATATGATCCCAACCTTCACAACCACCACCAAAGGAAAGCTACTGGTTTAGATGCTAAGAATCTTGTTCTTCAGAAGTCAGCTGTCTGATTTTCCAAACAATGATAACACAAGTTGATAGCTACATGGATCTATAAGTTAATACCCCTCTAATATCTTTTTAAAAATTCACAAAAGCACAAATGACACACAACCTTTTAGAATCTGAACTAACTTTTCATTCCAGGAATAAATTTTGAGGTTGAATGATGGTGACAAGTACTATTAGCTATTAATGCAAAGGGCTGCAGGAACTTAATTTAGCCTTATGTTAACAGTCTGTTTAAAGAAGCAAATATTACTTGTGTGATAAAAATTTCTTCCTTTTTAAAGAAAAAAGTTTGGAGAATTACACACACACAAACCCTCTGATCTCGCCACAGCTCCAAACATAAAAGACTATGGTAACTTCACAGGACTTCCTGACCTCAGAAGCTTCGTCAGAGGCCCAAGCCACACTGACTAGCCAGTGTACCCACATCTGACATAATCTCATTACTGACCCACACTTTGCAACTGCAGAAACTTGGATGCTAATCAGAGGACTGGGTTGCCTCTTCTTTAGAAACAAAAGACAAAAAGGTGATAGACCAAAATGAATACATTCTAGTGCAGGGTTTTCCAAAGTTCATACCTCAGTTTGCAGTGGATCTTGAAAAAAATCAACTTACTGGATTTTTCTATTTAATCTTGATAATTTGGGGATAACTTTCTATGAATTTAAATGTTATTAAAGCAATATTTATTGTTAACTTGATACTTTTAATCCAACATGGTGACTGCTTTTTTTGTGTATGTATACCTCTTGTTCCTATTTTATAAATCTCATATATGTGTGTACATGTCACAATGCAAACTATATTTCTTCTGGACTTAGAACTTTTCCATGTTTAGCATTCTCTGGTTTTAAAACGTGTCACGCAGGTAGGCTTCCATTTAATGAATACCAGGCAAACACGGCACTCTGTATTATTTGACCACCCCAGCATCCTGGCTACTCACACAGCATGGCTGGTTCATGAACACATGGAGCTCTACTTTCTGAAGACTTTGTCCGTTTAGCAATTGTTTACTTTAAGAATACACCCTTTGGTTATGGTCATTGTATTTGAAAAATGTTCAGTGTTCAATATTCCTCACAAAAACAGAACAGCTTTTAAAATATGCTGGTGATTTAAGGATTGAGGTTTACACCCTAATGGGATTTTTGTCTGTAAGGCTTCTTGCCTTACTCTTACTAAATGACTGCTGGCTACAAGTCCTAATTCTGAGGATGGTGTGCCCAGGGCCACAGTGAGAGTAGACTTCAGCTTTCCCAAAAAGAGCTCAAGCAGCTTCAGAAATCCCTAGCTGTTATGGAGTTTGAGCCAAACATGTGAGGCACAGGACAGAAGTCTGTGCAAAACTGTGGGATTTTTATGAATTTGTTTTCACAGTCTAAGCTGGTGACTGCTCTGGTGGAATTTCGGGCACTTCCATGTCAGTGCAGTTTAGTCCATTTCCTTGTGTATCATGAGCGTCCAACATTCACCTTCCTCAGTTTCAGACAATTTATAGGACCCACATCCTACAGAAAATGTGGTAAGCCAAAAGACCTTAGGGATAACAGTTTTCTAGCCTTTTGCAATTCTCCCTCCCTTTCATTCTCAGCATTAAACTTAAAAAGAATTATAGAATCTTGTCTGAATGAGATTTGATTACATCTGAACTATCTTTATGTCCTCTCAAGCTTGTAAAAATGGAATTCTTCCTGTACCTTCATTTTACATCTTTTCCCGCAGAGAAATACAAGACTCAAACTGGTCTGTGAGCAAACTGAGCTGACCTCCCACTGACAACTAAGAGGTGAGAGGGTAGCTATTCCTAAAAGGGAAGTAAAAAAGGTAAAATGAAATAGAACAGGGCAGAACTTCCAAGGGAACTCAGGCTCTGGTTTGCAAGGTCACACCTACATCTCAATTGAAAAGGGCTGAAAGAACCTACACATTCTTTCGCTAGGCTCTCTCTTCCCACATGATTTCACTCATGCAGATCACGGCCTGCCATTTCCCCAACTGATACACTGAGACACACAAAACCATGCTTTCAGAGCATAGAGGATTGGCCTGGAGGTTAAGGAAATGAAAGATGGTGGATGGATGAACACTTATGCGGAGACAACGATCATGGGGTAAAGTTAGGGAAGAGAGCAGATACAAAGTAGAAAAGTGACACTGAACATGGTTAGCAAAGAACCTCCTGTTCTGATCCTATAAAATATTAATAGATCCTGAATCATATCAAACTTTCCATCATATACTGAGGATACATACACTTCTCAGGAACGAGATAAGTGTATTTCTGAGCCAATATGGTTGTCACTGTATCTAAAACCTATGGCAAGTATCAGATGAAAGGAAAAAGTAATTAGGAATGGAAAGAGTGGCGTTTCTGCCTCTATCAATCCGGCTTTAGAGACCAAGAAGTGCCTAGAGAGCAGGAGGAGGCCAGAGGCTCTGAGTTTCTTCCTTAGTTGCACCTGTTTCGTAAAGGCCTAAGGTAATAAAAGAAAACAGGTTCCCACAGGCAGAAACTCGATCCAGTCTCCGCACATCCTGGCGCCCGTGCCAAGAGCCACCAGAGCCCAGGCCTCCACTGTCCCGCCTGCGACCAGCTCTGCTAGGCCAGGCAACAATGGCTTCCTCTCTCCTTGGGCCTGGCTAAGACCCATTTTCCTATGGCTCACCTGTTGGGAGCCAGGTGAAGAGCAGCAGCCAAGGTGCGGGCAGCTCGGAGCCCATGCCGGCGCTCTCCGACCCCTTTCAGCTCAGGGACTGCGGGAACACTGTGTCCTTCTTCATCAGCGACCCGTCCACGACGCACCACTTCTCCAAGGAATCCCTCCGTTTTGCCCTCACTGGGCGCAGCGCGGCCGATGGACCGACCCTGGGCCCCGGGCAGGTACCGCCGCCTCCTGCCCACCTGGGGCGCTCCTCGCGGCTCCGCCTCCCGCTCCTAGCGCCGGGGCTTCCTGCTCCGCCCCCGGCCCCCGCCCGCGGCCCTTTCATACCTGCCCCCGCCCCCAGGCAGGCTGCCAGGTGATTCTCCTCAGTGAACAGCGTTTCCTACCACTCTCCGCTTTGTCTACGGAGCCTGTTACCCTGTTTTCCAGAAGTTCTCGGGGAATCTTATGCCTAGCAAACTTCTCCCCCTCTGTTTGTAAAATTCTGTGGATATAACTTCTTAGGCAATATTTCCTGCCGTATGTTTCCATTCACTCATATCTGCTTGGGAAATTCTTTTTTCCCCCACCAAAACCACACTTATAGGACGTTTACAAGATTTTCTCGAAATAAAGATGCGGGGTATGAACTAGAGAAATAGACTTGATTTTCCAAGCTGTAAAAGAAAAGGATGTTCATGAGAGAAAAGTTAGAAAAATATGCATTAATGGAAGTAAGAAAAAAGTCCTGCTCCCACCAACCATAGTTAGGCATCGTTAATATTGGTTTAGTCCTTTTTTATTATTTGCCATCCTGCATGCAGCTCAGCAGCCCCTTACAGACCTCAGCCACGGATTCTAAGTCTCTTTGAATCAGGCCATTTAGGATGTAATCCCAGCCTCTCCTTCCTTGGTAGGAAACCACGTGTAGGGATAAAGCAAAACAGAGAAAGGCAGCTTGCCTTCAGGAAGCAGCCAAACAATGACATTAATTTGGAAAGTAACATAAACATTGGCCAATACAAATAGACAATACAAATAGATTTTATACACCTCTCTTTTATTGGGGATTTCTCGCTGTGCTCCTCATTATGTAAAGAACATAATTCTCCTTTCTGCTAGCCACCACCTTTTACCTGAAGAAAATAGTTATAAAGATCTGTTAAACATGGTTTCTGGGCTTCCCTGGTGGCTCAGACTGTAAAGAATCTGCTGGCAATACACAAGACCCAGGTTCGATTCGATCCCTGGATTAGGAAGATCCCCTGGAGAAAGGAATGGCAACCCCCTCCAGGATTCTTGCCTGGAAAATTCCATGGACAGAGGAACTTGGAGGGCTACAGTCCATGGGATTGCAAAGAGTCAGACACGACTGAGTGACTAACACGACCACTAAAGATGGCTTCTGCCCTCAGGGAACCGCCCTTCTGCTCACCAACCTTAGAAGTCAATATTATTTCTCCTAAAGTATGTCTTGTGTTTTTCTTTGCTGGGAAGGTTCCTCTTCTCCTGGCACTACTGGAGTCACTCCTCTCTCCTCCACCCAGAGGAGCATCCTTGTCCTGAATCTGATTGGAGGTTTCAACCCAATCTCTCCTCTCCAACTCTCCTCCTTCCCCTCTACTCCTGGGTCTGGCCTCTGGTTCCCCAAAAGGGCCTTTCCACTTTAAATGTTTTTCCTGTAGCCTTTTCTCTTCTATAAAGTAGGAAGTAAAATCAGGAAGTGAATGGCTAAAGGCAGATAGTACAGGATGTTTAGAAGCCCACAGTGGGATCCCAGAATAGCAGGAGCAGCAGGATACAATGTGAGTGAGGGATTCTCCCCACCACCTCCCAGGTACCCTGTACATGCTCTCAGGAACACTGTGTGTGTTTTACTGTGTGTGACCCTGAAGGATTTGTGTCTCCTGGCTTAGAGAATTGTTCTAGGGAAGTTTTCAATTCCACTCTAAAAACGTATGAGCCCTCTTCTTCTTAAACCTACCTCCCTTATCCCTTGCTTTGGTATTAAGGTCATTTTGATACTCATTGAAGTCAGCATTTCTCCATATTTATTCCTTGGAACAGTAGTTCCATGGAATGTTAATAAATAGTATATGGGGGAAAAGGGCTCTTTGATCAAATATATTCAAGAAATGCTGGATTAAGTTAAATGAAACATTTTTTTCAGGACCCGTCAAACCCACAGGGCTGCTACTACATATTTGAATATCCAAGGGAATATGTCACACAGTATTTCCCAGTATTGTTCAACCATAAAACCTTTTTTCTCATACATATCTTAGGACAGATATCCCATGGAATGTGTTTTGGGAAAGCCTGGTGGTCTAATCCAAACATAACTGGGGGATACATAGGAATGTATGTATATCCATAGGAATAACAACAAAAAAAACCTTTAACAAAAGTTATGCCAAGTGCAGTAGAATTAGAAAATTTCCTTGTTCTCTCTTGGAAATCACTTGGTCAACCGAACATCTACCTCCATTGCTTCCCTTGGAGTGAACACTTAGGTTAACTTTATATGGCCCTTGGTCTACTATGGTGTATCTTTTTTTCTTCACCACTTATTAAGTATTATGTACCAAGTAATGTCCTAAGTGCTTTACATGGATTATCTCATTAAATTCTCACAATAACTGTATGAAATAGAAACTTATTATTAATCCCATTTTACAGATGTGGAAGCTGAGATACAAAGAAGTAACTTGCCCAAGGTGACAAAGCTGGTAAGTGGTGGAATTTTGAGCTTTAGTGAGGCAGTCTGATTCCAGACCTTGTGAGTTTAGCTATTATACCACCATACACTCTCACTTACTTATGTCTCAGTGTGTGTAGTGACTCTATGTGGAAAGAACAGTTTCTTTCCACTTAAACCATTTAGCTCCAAACAAAGAAAAATTCTATTCCACTGCCATGAGCTCTTCTGGGCCAATGATTTTGCCACCACGTGCCACTCATTCAATAAAGATTAGATAAGAGTATACGTTTGTCTCAGAACAACAAATAGTTCTTTCATGGCTAGATATAGAAGTAAAAAATCACTTAACCTGCTGATAGTGACTGAGACAAAAATGTCCTCATCTGCAAAATAATAATAGCTATTATTTATTAAACACATTGTGCTAGGCAGTATTCTAAGCACTTTTCATTTTAACTTCAATAATTCTTTCAACTATACTATGTGGCAAAGACTATCATTGTCCCTACTTTATAGCTGAGAAACTTGAGGCACAAAGATACAGTTATTTACCAAGGATCCAGCTTGTAAGTAACAGAGCTGAGATGCACTTAGGCAACTGATCTTCAGAGCACACACCCTTAGTTACAACTCTAGCCATACTGTGCTTCTTTGTGTCATCTGGTCTAGGCTCTAAAACAAAGTACTGACAGCAAGATCCTCTATGACCCACCTCCCAGAATATTGGAAATAAAAGCAAAAATAAACAAATGGGACCTAATGAAACTTAAAAGCTTTTGCACAACAAAGGAAACTATAAGCAAGGTGAAAAGACAGCCTTCAGAATGGGAGAAAATAATAACAAATGGAGAAACAGACAAAGGATTAATCTCAAAAATAAACAAGCAACTCCTGCGGCTCAATTCCAGAAAAATAAATGACCCAATCAAAAAATAGCCCAAAGATCTAAACAGACATTTCTCCAAAGAAGACATACAGATGGCTAAATAACACATGAAAAGATGCTCAACATCACTCATTATCAGAGAAATGCAAATCAAAACCACAATGAGGTACCATTACATCCAGTAAGAATGGCTGCTATCCAAAAGTCTACAAGCAATAAATGTTGGAGAGGGTGTGGAGAAAAGGGAACCCTCTTACACTGTTGGTAGGAATGCAAGCTAGTACAGCCACTATGGAGAACAGTGTGGAGATTCCTTAAAAAACTGGAAATAGAACTGCCATATGACCCAGCAATCCCACTCCTGGGCATACACACTGAGGAAACCAGATATGAAAGAGACACGTGTACCCCAATGTTCATCGCAGCACTGTTTATAATAGTCAGGACATGGAAGCAACCTAGATGCCCATCAGCAGATGAATGGATAAGGAAGCTGTGGTAAATATACACAATGGAATATTACTCAGCCATTAAAAAGAATACATTTGAATCAGTTCTAATGAGATGGATGAAACTGGAGCCCATTATACAGAGTGAAGTAAGCCAGAAAGAAATACACCAATACAGTATACTAATGCATATATATGGAATTTAGAAAGATGGTAATGATAACCCTATATGCAAGACAGAAAAAGAGACACAGATGTATAGAACAGACTTTTGGACTCTATGAGAGAAGGCGAAGGTGGGATGATCTGAGAGAACAGCATCGAAATATGTATATTATCAAATGTGAAACAGATCACCAGTCCAGGTTGGATGCATGAGACAAGTGCTTGGGGCTGGTGCACTGGGATGACCCAGAGGGATGGGATGGGGAGGGAGGTGGGAGGGGGGTTGAGGATGGGGAACACATGTAAATCCATGGCTGATTCATGTCAACGTATGGCAAAAACCAGTACAATATTGTAAAGTAATTAGCCTCCAACTAATAAAAATAATAGGGAAAAAAAAAGTACTGAGCTTATGATTCCATCATGTATAAATGTACTTTTGAGTTGAAACTGTATCCATGACTATTCTGAATACTGAGTCCATACGTGCATATGCCTCTGTGTTTGAGAATATTGTCATATTTATACATCTATGTGCATATTTAATAATAAAGGAGAAAAGAAAAGAGCACGTAAATAAATATTATGCTTCAGACAGTTAAAGCTAAAGGATGGCAAGAAAAGAAATCTGCTAACTAAAGTTGTACCTTTTGGATGTGTGACCATTTTATATGCCGAGCATATAGCATAGCACCTAGCATATAGGTAGTGCTAATAAATATTTGTTGAGCTGTTAATCCATAGATTCTGTAGGATGTGACATGTAATCTGGGTTTGAAAACAAATAAAAGTTTGTCAGAGTAGTCCAAGCAGAGGGATCAGTATGTCAAGAATCATGGGACCAGGAAATAGCATAGCTTAATTATAAGCACTTGAGT